ACAGCACTTCTCTCTGCAAACTAGAAAAAGGTGCCTTTAGGTGCCCTCAGGGGCAAGCAGCCCTGGGCCTGTGCACCTGAAATGGGGAGCCGGGCAGGCTGGGTCTCAGACCCCCCTCACCACCATAACTGAACCCCTAAACCACGTCACAAAGACCCCTTTAATCTTCCTGGGCTGTGTGTGCATGAGCTTGGGTCTAGTATGAGCCCGTTGGGCAGATCCCAGAGGATGAAGGCAAATTAAACTCAGAAGAAAATGTCCAAGTGAAATGAACCTGATTTGTAGAGATGATTTACTGTATTTAAAAGTTTTGGAATTGGACAGAAATGAATTTTAATTCCAGCTTGGCCACTTGGTAGGTCACCTCACTGAAACACCATTTTTAAAAAATCTGCAAAATAACAATAATACCATATTTCATAGACTCTAGACAGCATCAGCTGTAAGGCAGGCTCATCTTCATTGAAGAGGTTTTTATAATATAAACATTTAAAACCAGAATATGAAGCAATAGCCAAGTGGGGTGGATCCTGATTTGAGGTGTTGCAACTGTAAAGATCGTGCCTCGCAGACTATGGGACATAAGGTGATGCCCTTATAGGTAATGGCTCTCTCTGGGAGGATTATGTGACATAAGGCATGTTGGGTTCTTGCCACAGCTCAGAGTCAGTGCTCAATGAATGATGGAGGCTGTTGTTGATGTGGTTGTTATTTGGAGCTGGCGACAAATAGTAACACAAGAATACACTTGATTCAGGTCTTCACAAGCTAGCAACATGCCCCGGCTGCTGTCTTGCCCGGCTCTGGGAGAAGACACTAGAAGCCGACATGCACCAGCAGGTCTAGAAGTAAACCTCAGAGAAATATTAAAGTATAGAAATGCACACAACTGAAAAACAGCCCTATTTATTCTGAGAATGGAGACCCAGATCTGATTTTCCCAAATCCCAAATGTACGGGAGAAACCTTTGTAAAAAGAGTATTGTTTCCAAGGTGGGTTGGGATCTGTCTCCGAGTTTGGAGTAGGAGAAAGAAAACGTTCAGAATGTCTTGTTAGGCTTTCCCGTGTTGGTCTCACTGACAGCTTCTTCTAGGACATTTCCTGTGATTTTGGAACTGGTCGTTGATTGGCTCTCTAGTGAAAACCCTTCTGTGCAGCATCCTGTGACGTCAGTTCTCATTTAGGCCTGGACGGTCTATGGAGGATGGAGACGTGCCAAGAGGTGTCAGTCAAAGCCTTTCACCTGCCTCCAGAGCAGCTGGTTCCTGGACTGGCTCGGGAGTGGGCCTCATGCCAGGGAACAGCCATTCATTGTCCTTTATTGCCCAAGACAATGCTGCCAGTGGGAGAACTCTGATGCAGAAACACCGATGCCAGAATCCCAGTGAGTGAAAAATGGCCTGGTTTGTGCCACCACCTCCAAAGCAGTCTCCTTCTTTTCCCACAGCCTGGGCTTGACGGCATTTTTAGAGATATGACAAATGGAACCAGGGTGTATATGAACATGGTCAAAACACAGCCCACAGGATGAAAACCTCCTATGTACGGAGCCGGTAAGCAAACACAAGGGCAATGACTCTCCGGTGGACACAAATATTCTATGACTTTTTTATTCTTCTGTTTCCGATCTAAACTTGTTTCAGCATCAGGACTGATCTAAACAATGTACAGAGAGGGCAAGAGCTTACCTACCTAGTTTGGGGTAGCTTGTTTTAAGAAAAACAAGTTATATGGATATGTCAGGGATTTTTGAGAACGAAACGCAAGTGGCAGCTCCAGATCAGAGAAAAGCCAAATGGCCCAAGAAGACAGGGACAACTTGACGTTACACAGGTGGGCCGGCTGCTCTGCAGTGCGCACACACAGCTTTCATATCCCCTCCGCAGGTCACTTCCAAGTGCGTGCCAGAGGCGGGATGTGGCGCAGTCCGGAGTGAAGCTGAGTCATCATTTTGCGCATGTAATGGTACATCGAGAGGGCTCCCACCTCCTCACCCCTGGAGTCACTAAAGCACTCATTGGGTGCCACCCCCTCCAAAGCTGTCTCCTTCTTTTCCCACAGCCTGGGCTTGACGGCATTTTTAGAGATATGACAAATGGAACCAGGGTGTATATGAACATGGTCAAAACACAGCCCACAGGATGAAAACCTCCTATGTACGGAGCCGGTAAGCAAACACAAGGGCAATGACTCTCCGGTGGACACAAATATTCTATGACTTTTTTATTCTTCTGTTTCCGATCTAAACTTGTTTCAGCATCAGGACTGATCTAAACAATGTACAGAGAGGGCCAGAAAAGGAGTTTGTGGCAAGAGCTTACCTACCTAGTTTGGGGTAGCTTGTTTTAAGAAAAACAAGTTATATGGACGTGTCAGGGATTTTTGAGAATGAAACGCAAGTGGCAGCTCCAGATCACAGTGTCAGAGAAAAGCCAAATGGCCCGAGAAGACAGGGACAACCTGACGTTACACAGGTGGGCTGGCTGCTCTGCAGTGCGCACACACAGCTTTCATGTCCCCTCCGCAGGTCACTTCCAAGTGCATGCCAGAGGCGGGATGTGGCGCAGTCCGGAGTGAAGCTGAGTCATCATTTTGCGCATGTAATGGTACATCGAGAGGGCTCCCACCTCCTCACCCCTGGAGTCACTAAAGCACTCATTGGGAACTGAATTTAATCTCACCTGATTTAATCTCTCCTTAAGGAAGAAATTAAAGATCTACGACTCAGGAACATCACAAACCTCCTGAAAGCAGTTTCCCTCAAGGTTACTTTGGGATTTTTAAATAAGTGTATGAATTCCACCTTATGCCTTCTTCGTCTTCCCCTTGGGTCTGAGATGCAGGGATGGTGGGCTGCTCCCTGTGGCCCAGCACCAGGAGGGGCTTGTTCAGTCCTGGGGTTGAGTCGCAGTGATCCACTCACCTGGACCGCCTCGGGACACGAGCACATTTGTAAGAGGATGGTGTTAGTCGGCTCTCGGCATGAAATGAAGTGATAGTGATGATGACTTTACTGGCACCGCTGCACCAGCGGCTTTCTCTTAGCAGTGACTCTCAACATTGTGAGTCTCCAGAGAAAACACAGGTTTGCTCACCCAGGGCTTCTGCTGGCATATGTGCAATCACAGATGTCTCCGTGGGAGGTCTCCCCGCCCCAACCTGCGCAGAGGCAGGCAGCCCCGCGTGCTTAATCCCAAGAACCCGGCGAATGGGATCCATCCACAGACGTTATTGCACCAAAATGATGGAGAATTTAGAATTGTGACAACCCAAGGTGCTGTGAGCACAAAGCTAAGTACATTGGCATAGGCCAGGGGTACCTTCGTCATAATCTATGACATTACTGTTGGAACAGTTTTCTTTGGGTTTAGAGAGTTAGATACATTTCAAGAGCGAAACCTTATACTACTCTGTGTGGAGAAGCAATTTATAAAAGGTCTTTCCTCCTGTCTCCCAGGAATGAAAACAGACCATTGGGTCCTTTGAGTCACATGATGCTGACAAGTCCTGGGATCCACGGGGATCCCTGTGCTGCCCTCCTGGCCACCAGCCAGGTGTGTCAGCTGCCCTGCTGCCGGACTGGCTGCTCCTGGGCCGGGCACCTGCTTTCCTGCCCAATCAGCTTCCTTATTGCTTTGGGTCTCTGATCCCTTCGAGAATCAGATAAACGATTACCTCCAGACAAATGCACACTCCTAACCCCCCATTTTTTTCATGCAATTTCAGGGGCTTGGGATCCAGGCCAAGGAAGGAATTTTAAATAGGGTTTTAAGAGAAACTAACTGTACTAAAGGTTACCAACATTTTAAAACTTTTTTTGATACCGGGATAGCTATGTGCTAAATTTGGGATTTGCATGTTTGCCCGGCATAACAAGCCTAGTTGACAAGAGAGAGTTTAGAAGTACTGATGAGTATAAAGGACATTTTACCATGTCGGCCAGCTCTGCTCTAAAATGGAAATATCTGTGAGTCCCACTGCTGGCAGGTGCTGCTAGTTCTACTGTGGTCTGCTGCCTACATTCATCACTGAGGCAGTGCTAAACCGCAGGCAGAGGTTAGTAAAAATGAAGGTGCATCTTCCCCCGTTCAAGATCCTTGACTTGAGGTTAAGAATCTCTGAGGCTCTAGCGATTCTCCGCCTGGCGCGGGGCCTGGCAGCCTAGCCCTTCCCATTCAGGCCAATGAAAGGACACAGGCCTCCCCTTTCCTCAACTGAAACTACTCAAGGCTACCATGATATTCAATATTCTGTAGCAAAAGCCAAAAGAGCCATTCAGAGCAGCTTTTGTCCCTCCGAAGGAGGAAGGTGGGGACAACGGGACTCAGGGAGTCCTGTGTGAACAGGTTGGTGACTGCTGCCTTCCCTCCCACGGGGATCCCCTCTGTGAAGCTGCCCCGCCTGGAAGATGGATCTCCTTGTGTCTTCTCCGTGTGTCTTCCCCGTGTGTCTTCTAGCTTGGAATGAAAGACACATTCTCCTCTGGCTGTCCCAAAGACCTGTGACACCCTTTTGTTGAATTTGCCTCTGGCTTTAACCTCACCTTTCCTGAGATGCAGCCTGCATCCTGGGAAGGCATACTGGCTCAGTTTTGCTTCTCATCCTTCCCCTGGCTCACTGGAGGGTGCTGAAATGCTAAGTGTAAGCTTTGGAGGTGTGACAGTGTTTCCCAGCACCTGAAAATACCATTGTCACCGCAATCCTGTGGTGATGGCCAGCAGAGCTATTGCTGGAAAACACCAGGGAAAAGGTCAACTTTCGCACTGGGATGCTAGAGCTCAGGCCTGCATGGCGGGTGAAAAGCTCAAGTTTTAGGCAAAAGGAACCGTTTTTCCTGATGGACGAGGGGAGGAGGAGAGACTCGCAAGGAAAGGCACTCTAAGCACTGCCGTGGCTGGGCGCTCCTGCAACCAGGCCATGGCTTTCGGAGGCCACCATGACCTGGTTTCCACCAGAAAAATGGTCCATGAGAGAGGCTCACAGAGGATCGCCTGCTTACCGATTTTACTTCTTGCTTCATTTATATTTTCTCCCAGGGACTTTGCTTCAGAAAATCTGGAGGGAAAAAAAAAGAAATGAGAATTTAACTTTTTCCTCTTCATCTTAAATTATGTTTTAAAAATAATAGATTTCTGAGAGGTCTCTAAAATATTATAATACTTTATTAAAATACATAAAAGAAAATCTAAATAAATGAAATATACTAGGCTTAAAATAGAGATAAATTTTATATTTATCACCGGTGGTGTGAATTTTTACTCCTCTACCCAGCGTAGAATTTTCATGCTCATATTCACTAATTTATGACTTAGAATTTCTAGTGTTTATGACGTAAGGGGACCAGAATAAAGCATGACTGTAAGCTTTCTGTACTATGTATGCTCCACAGTGGCAGGACCTCATCATCACAAAGAACACATACTTAATGTAACTTAAATAACTTTTTCTCTGATTTTAAAGTCATAGATCAGAGGTCAGCAAACTGTGGGTGGTCATGAGACAAATCCAGCCCCCCCTACCTGTTGCTGTAAAAGAAACTGTATTGGAACACGGCCACACCCACATTTACATAGTGTCTGTGGCTGCTTTCCTGCTAAAATAACAAATTGAGTGGATTGAACAGAGGCCATATGGCCGCAGAGCTGAAAATATTTATTATCTGACCCTTTACAGAAAAAGTTTGCTGACTCCTGTTATATATGATGCTAAACCACATCTTGAAAACTTAAAAACAAGGAAAAAATCTCCAATAATCTGCCACCTAAAAATAAGCATATTTTGAGATCTTTCCAGTCCTTTTTCTAGCCAGTTTTTTATACAGTGAAGACCATGTTGTATACATGGCTCTGTGCTTTGATTTTTTTCACTTAGCACTATAGCATGCCTTTCCCCATGTCTTTAGAAACTTCTCTGTTGTCTTTGATGGCTGTCTACCAGTCCACCAGATGATCGTGCTGATGTTTGCTTACTGATTCCTTTGTCATCCAGCAAGTACTTATGAGACCCCCAGGGAGAGCTGGAGAGGTGGTGGAGGAAGGATAAGGCCTATGTGAGAAAGTTGCAGCCCAGGACCTTACGACATGTTAGTTGCTTTCCCATCTTCTCCTTTCTGCCATGAAATTTAAGAGGCAACTGAAAGTCTATGAAACAAATACCTAATATATGGCTACAGGAAAGCCTTGTGCTACTGTGGGCAACACTTGCCCTGCCCTTAGAGGACTAGGGAGGAGCCTGTCCATCAGGAAAGCTCATGTACCATGTACAAGGCAGGACTGACCTGGGTTTAATGGGGCCATAGGAGCTTTAAGAAACTTTCTATTATGGAAATTTACAAATAGGCAGAAAATAGAATCACAGAATGAACCCTCACATACCCACCAACACATGACATTAATTGTCAACATTTGGCCAGTTTGATTTTAATCATCTCCTTTCTCCCCTCCTCTTAAATCTTTCTGGATCCCAGTAAGACCCACATTATTTCACACATAGCTGCTTAGTTGCAAGGTTTTTTGTTAGAGGAAGTGGGGTGAGGAGAGCACTTCAGGCAGGGGAACAATGCAAGCAAAGGCCAGAATGCTCTGTGCTTGAGGAAAAGAAGTGTGAATTATGACACTGCTATTTTCCGAATCTGTCTCCTTGGCCTGCGACTGCAGACAGGGGAATTTCCAGGGAAGGGGACAAATATTTTCCCCTTCTGGGACTCCACCCGGGCTCCCTCACTGAGGGTACTCAGGCTCATCATAGACTATGCACATCCTCTCTTGAGCGAGGGCCTATCGCCTCCCGGAGAGGATTGCAGTTCCTTCCAATGCCATCCAGATTGGATTTGGTTCAATTCCCGTGGCAAACATTCCCGTGGCATGTAGGTCACTGTGCTGGGCTCCGCGGGCTCGCACTGGCTGTGTCTGCTGGGCGGCATTGTCTCAGGGTTGGTCCAGGCCATTCAGAGGTGAGGACTGTCTTCATGCTTTAGCTTCTGCCAGGTGGGGAGACAAGGACTGTTCCATGCCACCCTGTCCATGTCCAGTACCTAAGCTTTCATCGATTTGACAGTCCTTTGTTGCTCAATGGAAGATTCCTCTTCCTGCCAGTTCTGTGGAGGCTGGAAGCGTTAGAACAATGAAAATGCAAGAGAAGGCTGAGGAGCTGCTGGAATTCATGTCAGCGCTGGAGGACAGCAGGTGGAGATTCAAAAGGAGGAGACTGCAGGGAGAACAGGCCACCACCATGGCACTGTTCACAGAAGCCTGACAGGCCTGGGTGAGCCCCCCCCGACCCCCCACCGTGGCAGTGTCCAGACTGTCCAGGGGGCACAGCGAAGGGGGGCATTTAGTGCAGTGGTCCACGCTCTCCAAAGGCCGCCCAGGACTGGCAGACACGGTGTTGGGTCGGGGCGTCTTGGGCAGTCTCAGCTTCCTCTCTGCAGCCCAGCGCCAGGCTCAGAAGGGTTTGCCCTCTGCAGAGGCGTGGGCTGAGGGCTGTCTGTCCTCATGAGATCGTTGTTTCCCTTTACTCCGCAGCTGTCACCGCTCCAGGCCACCCCGCCCACGTGTGTTCCTGATCCCTGGTTGTCAAGACAAACTCTTTCCTAAGGAAGCCCAGCCCTGGGGGAGAGTGTGAGGGAGACGGGGAGATGAGAAGGGAAAGGAGGCAAACTGAAGAGCTGAGAAGAGGGTGACCCCAGTCTGCCACATTCTTGTTCCTCCTGGCCCGCCCTGCCTCTTCACGCCCCCAGCTCATCCCCTTCCTCCTGCCCGGAGCTAAATTCTGCTCATCCAGACTGCTAGGAGGAGCCTCCCACTACTGACCTTCTAACAGACCATGTTCCCTTAGTGACGTGCTCAGGGAGCCAACCTGTGACCAAGGTGTGTGCTGACTTTCCCCAGGGCACGTGCACCCAGACAATATATATCCCCAGCTGCTACTCACTGCTAAGGAGGCGTGGCCCATCGGGGAGGCGTGGCCCATGGGGGAGGCCTGGCCCCAGAGTGATAGCAGCTGAGGAGGCCACACCTGGCTCTGCTCCAGGGCAATGAGAACC